GTTTAGGGTTTACGGTTTCTGGGGTTTGGGGGGTTTCATGGGTTACAAAAGCCTATATATAGGTTTATGCAATGATTCTATGGGGGTTATACAGGACGCATTTAGCCGTTTTTAGGGCTGTGAACCTTGGGGCTGAGGGTTGAGGCAGTTGCAAAAACAACCCAAAAGACGCAGGATAGATCATCTGTAGGGCTCGTTCATCAGACCTTTTCTCTAGATTTAGGCGGCTTGGGGTTTATAGTCCTCCTTAGGTAGATATATTCTGGGGTGTGTGGGGATCTTATTATCATATATCATCCAAAGCTATATTCCATCTACTTAAGGGGGACTATAGGCACGCGCATGGAACTCAGCAGGCACAGCGGTTTTGGGTTTAGGGTTCAGAGCTTCAGGTTCGGGCTTTGGGCTTGGGGGCGCAGACTTAGGAATAGGTATTTTCAAGTTGAGGGTTTGCAGTCAGGGGCTTCATGCTCTGATCGCAGCAATCTGGACACCACGAAAAACAGGATGGGAAATGTAGCTTGCAAATGAAAGGGAACCCATCTTAGCACGCCTGGGGTTCCTACAGGATTTGGGGAATGAATGCACAAGCTATTTTGGTAGTTTCCCTGAATACGGGAACTCCTTATAGACCCCAACTTTGATCCTTAATGTGGGGGACCCAGAAAAGGTAACCCTAATTTGGAAAACCCCCATGTTACAGAGCATCTGAGGATGCTTTGTGCCGCCCCTGATGAAGGATTACACGGAGTGACCGGGGATCACTTCAGGATGAGCACAGGATTGCGAAACGCTTGCTTGGCGATCCAAATATCGCAAATCCGTCCAAGAAAGATGTCATTGTTGAGCCTTTGAGGAACCCTAAACCCTTTGCCTATATCTGAAACCCTAAACTTGATATGCACATGTTGACCAGTGATTTGTGCACCCTTCTTTGGCAAATTTCATTGAGCCAAAAGCAGCACATGCGGAGAAACTCGAAGGCTGTCGCAGGGTGTATTGTGGGATCCTCTAGGGGGGGTGGTTCAAGGGGGAGGGTACTAGGGAGCCTTAGGGAACCTTAAGGAGGCTTAGGGAGTATTGGGGAATAATGGGGCCCCCTTTGGGACATCCCAAGCGTAGGGTTTAGAGACTTTGCCAAAACTCTGGCATTCTTTGCGGGGCCTTTGTAAGCATGCTCGGGTGATGCTACCACAAACCACGAGCTTAGAAGCACCCAGGCAAATTTATCCGGATTCGAGCCTGCTTTATGGTTAAGCTTTCCCACGAACAGGATTTACCCCAGAATATTTTGATCCTGACCTGGACTTAAACGGACTCAAGAACAGGACCCAACTTCGGAAGCTCTCATGCTGGGCTCTCTCAAAGTAAGCCCCATATCATCCGTAATGGGAGCCCCCGTTATCACCTCAGAACCCCTGTGTATGGAGGAAAAGCTGGGCCCTCTTGCGAACCGGCATTTTCGCAGCCGCCTGCCACACGCCACACAGCATCCGGTTGACATCACGAGGTTTAGGGTAAACAGTCGCCATGAACGAGGAGAAGAAGGTACAAGCTTTTGGCGCGGGTCGGAATTCAGCTTTAAAGACTGATTTCAAGGGATTTGGGGTTGCACACAAGGTTTGGGGAGCCGCTATGAAGGTGAATAGTACCTATACAGGTGGCAAATTGGATTATACTCTAAGCTCCTAGCGTCCACCTTAGATAACCTCTATAATACTCCCCCATATATTCCCCTGAATAACCGCCTTTAAGAAGTTTAGGCTATCGCTCATATTGGATTATAGACTGATGCTGCTTCTTGGGTCCGACTCTTGGATCTCGTCTGAAATCCTTCGGATATCGTAAAATACTATAATAGTTTCCATTTGCTTTTCCCTGCCCCTATTTGTCTCTAAAAAGGCTTGGTTTCCCCATTTAGGACGAGAAACTCTCATGTAATCCCTGCATAAGCCCCGCAAGGTTCACAGACTCTGTCTAAAAGCCGAGTTTGATCTGTCCTGCGTCGTTGCCAAGACGTCGGCAGAAAACTAGAACAAGTTGGGCTTCCCAAAAATTAGTCGTAAACCCACCAGACACATAGAGGGATTCTTTGACATCAAAGAATAAGCGGCCCCAACGCTACTGGGGCACCTGACTAAGGGTACCATTTTGGGGCTCCCGAT